CCACGTATCTGAGACTGAACAGAATGAAAAATATAATCTATAAAAAATATCAGGTTGAAGAATATTAGTTGATCTTTCAAATTTCGCCAAAGCCTTACCTATATTTTACCTATATCTGCAGAATAAATCAAGAAAACTACACAAATTGACTCAATTTATGAATAATTAACGGTCGGCCCTAACGCACGGCACAGTGGCCTGTTCAGAATTAGTCAAGTACCTATCACAAGACTGGTTACGAACCAGTTGCACGAGGCTTACCGAGTCGTAACCTCTACGTGGTTCGTAACCAGTCTTATGATTGGTTGTTGGCAAATTCTGAACAGGCCACGCCTTCAACTGTGCCATGCGTTCGGGACAACCGTTAATACATGTTGAGCAACGATATTCACAAGTTGAACGAGAAGCCCTGGCTGTGACATGGGGAGTGCTTCACTACCACTTATACCTATATAGACACAAGTTTGAGGTGATTTCAGATCATATGCCCTTAGTACCGCTTTTCAACAGTCCAACTGCAAAAACTCCAGCACGCATAAGGCCATGGATTCTCAAAGTTCAGCTGTATGATTTTAGTAAGTAAGTGTAAGTGTCATACCGACCTGGAAAACTTAATCGAGCAGACTACATGTCTCGACATCCACTATCGTCTGTCAACCCAGCCAGCAGGGAAGGGAAAATGGCTGTAGAACACATAAATACCATCATAGAGCATGCTATGCCTAAAACAGTACACATTGAAGACATCCAAGCAGCGACAAAGACTGATACACCTTTGTTACTGTGCTTGCAAGCCTTACAAACTGGCAAGTGGGATGAATTTTTTTCACAGGCTACAAATACAAAGGAGAAAAAAAGTGTTTGTATGCTGTGAAAAATGAGCTGACAGTACATTCACCAGCGACCTACTACTTCGCAATAGCCGAATCGTACTACCCGAAGCACAACAAGAAATCATCAACATTGCGCATGAGGGCAATCAAGGCATCGCTAAAACAAAACAGCGTTTAAGAGAGAAAGATTGGTTCCCTGGAATCAATAGTATGGTGAAAGAAACTGTTGAGTTGTGTACTCTATGTCAACTAAACATCGTGAAAAGTGGACGAGAACCACTAAAAATGTCAGTGCTATCTAAGGGTTCATGATGGACATATGGTGGACATATCTTAGTGGTAACCGATAACGGCCCACAGCTCTCCATCATTGAATTTGCATCTTTCACGAAAGATCTTGGTTTCAAGCATTGCAAACTAACACCAAGATTGCCCCATGCAAACGGCGAGGTCGGGCGATTTATGCGTACTATGAAGAAAATATACCGCATAGCACACGTTGAAGGCAAGGCATGGAAACAACAGTTATACAGATTCTTACATAACTACAGAGCAACATCACACATGACAACCAGTGTACCACCCGCGCCATTATTGCTTAAAAAACAATGTGAAATCAGCACACATAACCATGCTGACAGTGAGCTACGCCAACGTGATAACGAACAGAAAACACGTATGAAATTAAATGCGGATAAACATAGAACGCTTTCCCGGGGTATTTGAAACCAAAATTGTCATCTAACTGTAAGACAGTCGCTGATTGGCTGCTGAGCTGGAATGACAATTTTTGGTTTCAAATACCCTAGGAAAATGTTCTATGTTCTTCGTGTGATAAGGTGTTCGTATTTAAAGGATTTTTCTACACAAAAACGACGAATTCGGCCAAATTTTGTTATCGGTTGGTCTAATATTACCCCAAACGGATCGTATTTCTGTGAAAGATTGGCATTTTTGTCCTGATTTGTAGGAATCTAAAAAATACGTTTCACAACTTGTCTCTTATTTAGTTTTATGTCGCATTCAAGATGGCGGCCCCCATATAGTAAATATCGCATTTATTTTATTATCACGTGTGCGCCAGCTGACTGTGGTTCTATGATAACCGCGACGAGGGTGATCATGATTATTGCCTCAATCTTATGGAACGATCATTCTTCGTCATTATGATCGTGCTCATCAACAACTATTTGACAACAAATAAGTGTTGCGAACACAAGTGCTGTGTTCAGGGGAACTTCGTCACGCTTGGCTAATAGCCAATAATAACTTACACATAAAGATACCAGATTCGACCCAATTGAATACACATTCGTTTATTACAGATAGTTCAACTTTATTCACTCAAGCAGTCAGCTGAGGTAACACCTCGCTATACCGTTCTCTCGTTCTCCTCCCTTACAAAGCTTACAAACTATCTATATTAAAAGTCAAAACACTAAGGCGTTGCGGACATGCGATCAGCCAATCGCTGCAGTCGTTTGGCACAATCACGTGATTACCAGGGATGTGTTTCACGGTTAAAGCCTTGCAAAGTTTCCACTACTAAATACAATAAGTAAACAGTCTATTTATCAAATTCCTGTTATATATAAGTTGTTGATTCTAAACAATAGTCTAACGACGTGTGAACACAATGTGCGAACGTGAAGTCGCTATCATAACATTACAGTCACTTGAAAACATTCGTTTTTAACCAATGTTATTATTCCAATCTTATTGTCATTTTAACTACTTTTTAGGGTCACCTAAAAATCCTTTTTTAAACTATCATGAGTCAATTTGTTG